CTTAAATTTAGTGTGACATTTCTAATTTTAGAGAAAATATGACATTTAGAACGCGTTTCAGAATACCATTTAATCATCTAAATCTAAGTTGAATAACTTAGCAACGTCAATTTTAAATTTAGAGATAGTGTCATTACAGAATACCAAATTGAATTTGACAATTATATATCTAATTTTAGTTAGTTTTAGATATAAGTTGGCACGCCAGAATTGGGCCCAGTGTATCTTTGTCATTCTCTATACAGAATGAAAAGGACAGACTGATGTTAAATTAAGGTTTAATTTTAATAAGACGCAGGTGCGGTTTTGCGTGGAATATTGCTTGCACATCTGGGATGGCTATGCCAAGTACTTGCTCGATGCTTTGGATAGGTTACAGCGGCGCGCGATCCGCATCATAGGCGATGAGGAGGTGATAAAACACCTCCAGCCTCTTCAATTACGCCGTGATGGGGCGTCACTAAGCGCGTTCTATCGTCTGTACCACAGCGAGTGTTCTGAGAAGTTATTCTCTCTTATTCCAACTTGCCCTTTCCTTCAGAGTACCACGCACGCTAGCCTTCGTTGTCACCGTCTATCTTTGGTCACAATTCCAACGCGTACAAAGAAATTGATGACTCATTTCTTTGTCGCACTATCCGTAAATGATTCCATTTCTCATTGGACGTGCCTGCTCACGTGTTCCCTTCTTCTTACAACCTGGGATCCTTTAAAAGAGACGTGAAGAAGCAAGATGCAGGCCGGCAAGGTGAGGATAGCTGGTGTGGCAGGTAGAACTGCTGTACCAGCTATCTTCACGTCTGGACTTCACCGTCACTTAACATCAGGTGGGGTGGAGTCATATCTCGGACCATACTATAAAAAAAATAACAATAATATAGTCAATTGATATAAGAAAAAAGATGCATTGATATCGGAATCGCTTTTTTAATAAAACCAATAATAATATGAGTATTGTATTTTTAGTTTTTATGAGTTCTGATTACGAGATCTAAAACGCCAAAATCTTATTTTTACTCGACTGCGCAGGGTAACATTTTTCGAGTGTATGTATGTATCACTGACCTGTTACACACTACACACGTGTGTGTAATAATAGAGGTCAGTGGTATGTATATAAGTATGTATGTATGTATACAGGCGTCCCACGGCTACCTCACACGAAGGGAAAGTATACTAAATATTGAAAATAGGATATTTTACTGAAAGAAGACATCGTTTTATTTTTAATAATAAATAGAACTGCATTCACAAGTTTTTTTAAATCGTCTGCTACTACTGGGAATCAAACTCGTGAAATTTCAAAAAAGAACGCATGACGTAAAATGCGTTTTATAACCATAAAAAACCTTTTAAACACATATCGAGAAGGTACGTCTCTATCAGGATATCTTTCGCGTTACCACCGCAAAGCTAATATGACTTTGTGGTTCATAAAGTAAGCTTTCATTAAATCTATTTTATTTTGATACGCCGACGTAAGTAAATTAACAAAAAATTGTAAATAAATTAAAATGAAACTCACAAAGAACAAAAGAACAGACGCTTGAAAATGTATGTGTTCAATTTTCGAATTATTATTTTTATAAATTTCAGCCAATCGCATTGTAACTGTGAGTTCAAGAAGAAATGCATACGTACTACAGTTTGTATATCACTTTATTATTTTTATTACGTAATTAGACATTCCTTTCATTTAAAATGCTTTGTTATTCAGCAGAAAATAATCCTTAAGATTAACCCTTTCGATGGTTATCATAAAATATGCTGTTTTTTTTTCGAAATTTCACGAGTTTGATTACCAGTTGTAGCAGGCGAATTTTAAAAGATCTGTGAATGCAGTTCTAGTTATTATTAAAAATAAAATGATCTTCTTTTAGTAAAATATCCTATCTTCAATATTTAATATACTTTCCCTCCGCGTGAGGTAGCCGTGGGACGCCCTGTATAAATGTATGTACTTCGGTTTCTTTAGCACGCCCTAAAGCCTGAACGACTTGACATGTGATGTATCATTTGATTTTTCGGGACTGTTTATGACTGGGACTGGAATATTCAAATAATAAAAAAATATGGGTGCGTGTACTTAAGTACGCGCGTGAGAAGTTATACTTCTTTTTGGAATTATTAAAAAATAGTTTTTAATTGCATGCAGATAATTAATTACAATAAGATAATAAAAGGATTGGAAAAGGATAGTCAACGCAGTCAATAAAGTTCAGTTTTAATTTGAAAAATTTAATAAATAATCAAAATATTCAATTTAAATCACTACTGAATAAAATTTATTAGCACATATAAATTTCGCATTTGTATAACACTATAACACGTGTTAAGAATATAAAAACTAGAAACATGTGGATAAATATTATAAATATGAAAGCAGTGATCAGAGGCGACGAGAGTCCCAACATGTGCGACTAAGAGATCCTATTACTATTTTGTTGGAAGCTTTTTTTCGAGACTTACGAGTAATGTGCGGTTTAGCGGCCGACTTCATGGTTTTACTTTTCTGTTACAGTGTTGCGCGCGCATCTTAAAATTTCACTCTCATCATTTTTTCATAACGCACCCGCGGCTAACTTCTTTATGTTACTTTTGTGTTACAGTGATGCGCGCGCATCTTAAAATTTCACTCTCATAATTTTTTCATAACGCGGCTAAAGAAGTATAACTTCAAAAACTAAATCTGTCTCTTCTAACCCTACACTTTGATGCCACAACTTCTTTTTTCAAGTTGTTTCATGAGTCAAATATGGCTGATTTTTAGCGCCAAAAGAAACATCTTGAAAAAAAATACGTGTGGCGCTCGGGGACTGCCGCGGTAAAGCTATTGCATAGCAACAACTTATGCAATTTTGATTATTTATTTTATTTATGCAGTATTTTTTTTTCGACGATATTAATTCAAGTTTTTTCTTTGATATTAATAGACGACGAGGCAGGCCTTATGATATTTTATTGAGCAAGCACAGTAAACAACAGCATTGCCCGGCGCCAAAAAACTTCCACAAGCTCCACAGTTTAGCATCTCTAAAGATGGTAAACTGTGGAGAGTCTAAAAATTTAAATTATAATTATAAAGTCTAAATAAAAGGGAGACAAATAAAAATAAGAACAGGTGCTGGGGTCTAAAACAAATATATAAAAAATAAATAATATGAGTGCGGGATTTAAACCGACGACCGCGGTGATGCGTCGAACGTTGGTTAACACACTGCGCCGTCTAAATCGATACTGGAAAGGCGAAAATTGGTATCATATGGACAGTCAGGTTATTTTCGTTATGGAATTTCTTGATTCAGTCGCCGCGCTCAAAGCCCGTGATAAAATCTATGCAATAGCTTAAAAATGCTTATAACCTTTCAAGCGGGGTATTAAGGTGAAGGGTTTTAAAAGACGATTCAGAAAATATAAATAAAATTATACGTATTTTTATATTAAAACACCCATGAAAAACATTCGCGAGTCACCAATTTTAAAGTGATGCTAGCGCTTGGTAACTCTGTATTCAAGTTTCTCTATGGTTTCAGTACTCTGAGGCATGGAACTTAATAAAAGTTCCTTGCTCTGAGGACCAAGTACATAGGTTGTCAAATAATCTTAGTCATCTGTGGACAGTAAAAGTAACGAGATATTTGGTACTCGTATGTATTCGTTACTATAACAATCAATACTTGTTACTATCGTATCGTTACGTTACTCGTTACTTTCAATACTAGTGTAAAGCGCTTGATGGAGTTGAGTCGAGTTACGTATATTATTCAGACGTACGTTTAAATTTCAGCTTCAAACTTTGTCTAATCAATTTCCTTACTTACTATACTTATAATAGTATACTAGATTGAAGTTTAACTGTCATCACATTCATAAAACTTATTATTTAACTGTTGAGCTCTTGCAGTATACAAATTTGTTGTTGTATAAAAAAACATTTTTCGTTACGAGTGTTTAAATACATTCGATTCAACGAACAATATTAAGTATTTGTTCATCACGAAACATAAGATGATACAACGCAAGATGAGCAGACCGTTTCAATTCAAGCATCAACGTTACATGCGGAGTTAAATTCGTACGTCCGTACTCAATTGACATCATCAGTACCTTTAGTACGAGTTTTACAATTACGAAAACTATGATAGTTTTCGTGAGCTCGTACTAAGGGTATTGATTTAATGGTTTTCGTTTCAATACAAATAAACAGTGGTGACGATTCTAGCGTAATTCTCTAAACTTAAAACTAAATTTACCATCTGTCTCTCCTATTCATTCCGTAAAGAGAATGACAAGGATACACTGTTGTCAAATTTAAGTTTAGATTTAGAGAATTGTGCCAGAATCGACACCAGTGTTTACATTCTATCATTAAATCATTTGCGTCTTCTGAAATTTTGAGTATATTTGGTTACTTTTCACCATAATGGACATAGAAACATAAATTACAAATATTACAAAAATTATGATTAGTTTTCGTGTGCTCAAACTCATACTAAGGGTACAGTACGACACATACGAGTAACGAAATGTATTCGTGAGTAACGATTCGTTACTTGAAGTTAGGTGATGTACCCGTTACTTGGTAACGTGCATTCGTTACCAAGTAACGGTTGGTTACAGCTTTAGTGATCAGTATCAGAATGTAATAGACAAGTCCGTCCGTCCGTCCGTCTGTGGTGCTGTTTCAGCGGCCAAACCGTAAGAGATAGATAAAGAGAATATTTAAGTTATAAGTTAAGAATAGTCTGATAAGACTACATACCGGATTTGAGTAACGTAGCACTTCCGGTTTTCGAGAAATCACGAATTTCAAACGAAACCACACAAAATCTCCGAAGTTCTCAATTAATTAAATACATTTTTTTTTTAAATCAGGTTTTGGTGAACATTTGGTTCACTGGTTTGCTAGTCAGAATGTAATACTGATGAAAGGCCGAAATGGTGAAAACTACGGCCATAAAACATGAATTTAAAAAAAAAACAGAATGTAATCTGTGGTCAGTATCAGAACAGAATGTCTGTGTATGGTAGATGCTTTTTGTTTCTCCCGTTTTCCCCAACTAAAATGTAAAAGAAACAATAGTTTTTAATTTTAGCTCTAATAAAATAAGCATGAGTTGTAATGTAGGAAGATGGAGTAGCAGAATAACTATGAAGTCCCTGCGTTTATTGCAAAATGATGCTGTCTGCATACGCCAAGTTTATTGTTCGCCGTTCCTACGTGATTCTTCTCATTGTAAGTGTGATTTCAACGATACTCACTGTAATTCCATTAGTTTGTCATACCCTCCCTTCGTTTTCCGATCCACTAGTAGGCTTCGAGACTCGAGGCACTACGCTGTCACATCGGTTTATAGCTTGGGAAAATCTCATCGACGAAACGAGACCATCTCGTAGATTAGCTGTCAATCCCAAGGATATCGAAGATCAAATACGTATGAACCACACTTACTACAATAGAACAAGAACAGATAGACCTAGATCAGGCCATGGCCACAAAAACAAGATTCGCAAGAAGAAGAAAAAAAATCGCAACAATAGCACTGGTATTGAAAAAATCTGGTATAATTCACCTGAATCAAACATATCTGATGGTCATATTCATTGGGGATATGGTAAGAATGTTTCATTTGAAGACGAAAACACTGTCTTTCTCAAAGACCACACTCGGCGACAATGGGTGTCATTGAAGGAAATGCAAAGACGGCCAGACAAGTCAATCCATCTTAATTATGCTTCTGGAAGCTGTGGTCCTCCTGTATCTGACTATGCCCATTTGGTTATTACTAGTTCTGATAACTCATCTTTACTTGCATATGAAAATGTAGTTAAAATGTGTAGAATGCAGAATCTTCTTGTAGTATTAGGTGGATCAAAATATTATAAACTGTGTGAAAGATCAAATCATCCTGAAGAGTTGTGCTGTCCTATATGGAGTGTGCCAAATTATATAGCTTTAATGTCTGGCAAGCGTTTCTGTGAAAATTTAACTAGTGAAGATGTAACTAAGACTGTTAGCATATTGAAGAGATGTGCTGGCTACTTTCACAATTTTACATTAATGGCATCTTGTGATTTAGACCGTTGCAAAGTACCAAAATATTGCTCTCAATATGATGCCGTATACAACTTACTTTTTTATTTGATAGATTCATATGCATTCTCTCCAGAAGATAATTCACAGACATTTGTTCGTAATTCCATGATATTTCTTCCAATACCATATAGCGTAACCTCACTACCTTTTTATATGAAATTACAAAGTTCCAATTTATCTTATGACAATCTCATTATACCTGCTCTCGATTTTGGAATAAAGAATGCATTATTTGATGAATGGTTAATACAAGATACTTGGCTGATAGGTTTAGGAGGTATTTTCGTGTTTTTAGGTGTATGGTTTTACACTAAATCTCTAATTCTCACTTTGCTGTTATTTACAGCTATAGCATATTCACTTGGGATAGCATACTTCTTGTATGTTTATGTGTTCAATTTGGAGTTTTTTCCCTTTATGAATTTATTAGTAATAGTTGTTGTAATAGGTATTGGAGCTGATGATGCATTCCTGTATGTGAAAGTATGGAATACAGTCAGCAAGCAGCTTATAAGGGATAACATTGTAACTCAAGATAACTGTTTAAATGATATAAAGAATGTGTCAAGTGCAGGGGAAACTATTCTTGTACAAATTCTAGAGGAGACTTTGAAGCATTCAGTAGTGACTATGTTCATTACCACAATTACAACTGCAGTTGCATTTTATGCCTCCTATGTGAGTTACATTCCAGCTATAAACTGTTTCAGTGTGTTTGCTGGGACAGCTGTTCTAGTCAACTTTCTACTAATGATTACTTGGTTGCCAGTATCAGTTTATATTATAGATGTTAAAATGTGTACTAGCAAAGTAAAGGTATTTGATGTACTTAATAAAACTTTAAGTGAAATGTGGGAAGATATCATAGTTGTTTTGAATAGGTTTATTGTTACATGTGTAATTAAACTGCACATAGTGTATGTTATAGTATTGGGTGCTATAGGAATTGGAAGTATCATTGTAGTATTTTACTCTCCAGGGCTCAAGCTGCCAGAATCTAAAGAATTTCAGCTTTTTCACACTAGTCATCCTATGGAACAATATGAAATGAAATACCGTGATAATTTTCTGTTTGAAAGATTTGGCAAAGACATCGGTACTGGTAGTAAAATGCCTCTTAGGTGGATTTGGGGGGTAAAAGCCATTGATAATGGTAATCATATGAACCCATATTCTACAGGTCATTTAATATTTGATGACGGCTTTTCAATATCAAATCCTGAGTCACAATCATGGTTGCTTAAGTTTTGTATGAGATTGAAGGCACAACCATTTTATCAACAGACATTAGGTCCTTTGCTCCCAAATTGTTTTATTGAAAGTTTTAAAATGTATATGGACAGAAGTTGCATTGATGATATTGACAAAATCAACAGAACTCCATGTTGTGAATCATCCCAGTTTCCTTACAAAAAGGAAGTATTCGATTTTTGTATTATAAAAGCTATGGAATCCTTATATATGACACCTCGAGAACTTTTTATGCCTGGAGTGGCAGGTCCTAAGTTCCTTAGAAGTGCTACCCCTCCTATTGTGGTGGCAATAGTAGTAGAATTTGAAAGTGTGGTACCTTATACTATGTCTTACACTACTATGAATAACTTTTTCTTGCATGTGGAAAACTGGACTCAAGTAGAATTGGAATCAGCGCCGCCAGGTATGTCACGTGGATGGTTCTTGTCAGATCTACAATTTTATGACTTGCAAAGAACTTTAGCTAGTGGAACTGTAATAGCACTATTGCTATCTGCAAGTTTAGGCTTTGTAGTTCTTATTCCAGCTACTTTGAATTGTATTGTTAGCATCTGTGCATTGACTGCAATGATATTTTCGTCCACTGTGACAATATCAATCTTAGTTTTGAATGATTGGAAATTGAATGTTTTAGAAAGTGTTGCTATATCAACTTCAGCTGGATTAGCTGTGGATTTTAGTCTTCATTATGCTCTCAGTTATACAAATGCTAGTGGTTCAAAGACTGCCAGAGTAAAATATGCCCTTTCAGCATCTGCTGGTCCAACAGCTGCTGCAGCCTTGACAACGGGATTTGCTGGAATATTTCTTTTGCGTTCAAATCTTCTTCCTTATTCACAGATTGGAATATTTTTAGCATTAATTATGTCTGTTAGTTGGATTTATGCCACATTTTTTTTGTGTTCCTTGCTTCATTTATTTGGAGGCAACTCTTCAAAGGAATCTCTTTCAAATGAACGTAAATCAGTATCACGGGTGAGCTCCATTTGTTCTGGCTTACCAAATTTAGAAAGCCATGAACTAGAACATTTGGCTGATAGCAATCGTACAAATCTTACACATTCTCAAAGTCCTTCCAGTGTCAGTGCTACTACTGTTGTATTACATGAAGAATTTGAAAATTCACAAAATAAAAATGAACTCAGATCTAGTTGTAATAATATTATAGTTTGTGACAAGGACTGAATGTTTAGGTCTAATAATAATATTAAGAAATTTTGGAGTATTTATAGCAACTAAACAGTATTATGAAATGTATTAGTTAATTTGATCTGTAAGCTGAATCTATCCCTGAATTATTTATTTTCTTGAAAATATTGCTACACATCATGACGCTTTTCTATGTATTTATAACGAAAAAGATTGTTTTGTAAATATTGTGATTTTAAATATGCAGTATTAAACCTGAGTAATGATCATTGTGACAATAACTATCACATAAATAATTCATATTTGACAATACAATACCTATCTAAACGAGCTTAGCTTGAGCATAACAAATTATTTTTCTTATTTTCCGTGTCTTGTCTTGTTTTAGTCGCAGTTTATATTGTGAACTTAATACCTTATTTAGAAATAAGTCAGTATAGTATCAATTGTAACTTTTAATAGATACCTAAAAAGTAACCCCAAGCTGAAAGTTTAGAATCTCCCCTCTTCTCATTAATTTATTATAATGATAAGACTTTATGTATTGCAGTTTTGTTTACAGTTTTACAATCGGATGTCAATTTAATGCATATAATAGTATTTTACAAAACTTATTTTATGCAAACTTGTTAGAAATTCATAGTAACAGCTATAATAGAAAATAATGTAGTTAATTTTTTATCTTACAAAATAAACAAACTTCCCCAAATAGAATTATTTGCTTAGTATATTTGTATAATAATAAGACATAAAATGCACAATATTAAAATTGTAACCACCGATGAGTACTTACTTGACTGTACTATGTACAACAGAATAAACGTTATATTCACCTATTTTAGTTGATAGACAAAAAGAATAGATGTTATTTATAAGTCTTGTAAGGATAAGATGTTTATACTAAGTCTTTGATGTTTTTCTGGCTATTGAGAAGTAAGAAAATCGAATATTGAATTTCGTGAACTTATTTCTTATTAGACATATACTTCTACTTAATGGAATATTGTACTTTAAAATATTTAAAGAAATGAAGTAAAATGTTAATTTTTATAAAATGATTTTTTAATTTTATTTTATAGGTTGATTCTTTAACTTTTCAGTAGGTCATTAAAAACAGATCTGCTGAAATTGTGGACCAGCTTCAGACTTGTAGCAGAGCACAGGTGTGACCTACACCTGTGCTCTGTACGCTTTAGTTGCTTTTTGCTTCTTCTTAGTGTGTACTGACCCTTAGAACGTACTTTGCCTTAGTGCCTGTGCGCTCCACGTTTTTTAAACGACCCGTTGATGCGCGTTTTAGCGATACAGACGCGATACGCACAGGGCGTATTTTAAAATCTGGCGCCATTAAAAATTTGCACCCCCTCCCCCAGCTGTGTGAACTTAGCACCCGACTTAGGAAAATCAATTTTTTTCTTAACGATTCTTAAAGACTTTCGTATGTAGTTGATTGTAGTGAAAGAATTTTCGTTTGAAGTTGCTTTAAAAAAAAGTTATGGGACTTTAAAAATCCGTATCATCCCGTTGGAACCGAACCCAAATTTTTTGATTGATACTCATCGAGAATCGTTTGTAGGCTAATAAAAAATATTTCGTTTGTAACTACAAACGACGAGAGATTTTTTACTACAATCAACTACATACTAAAGTCTAAGAATCGTTAAGAAAAAAAAATATTTTCCAAAGTCGGGTGCTAGGTTCAGACAGCTCCCTCCCCTCTAAAGTCAAATCAGAATATTATGGTTCAATAACGAATGCCTTTGTATGGCTTCTTCTGCCCCTCACAGCACTTGCAGTCGACCCTCGCAGTCTGCCAATGGATATTTTTTTTAATGCAAAGAGTAGGCCGCGCTGCGATTGACAGGCGGGCGACCCGCCTAGCGAAGCGCTGCTTTATGAAATGACACAGTACCTGAGGGGCGGTTGCTACGTCGCCGCTTAAAGCAGCAGACACCCTATTATTGAAAATAAAGTGAATTAGATACATACGCTCGAGAATATAAGTGTCTAACTTGGAGTTCACAAGCGGGGAGACAATGTGTTCGCTTTCATCACAGACACGGACTAGTATAGCGGGCGCCCGCGATCATTTCATTCATCAAATCATCTGTGCCAACGATATTAAATAATATCGTTGCTCTGCGCACACAAACTTTCATCCTCTATGTCACCCCTTAAAATTTATATTATCGTTAAAAAAGTAGCTTATAAGCCCTATTAACAGTCTCCAGGGGTCAGTAGTTCGCATCTTACTGATATTATAAATGTAAAAGTTTGTACCTACGTTTGTTACTCCATCACCCGAAAGAGGCAGAAAAGATTTGTAGGCAAATTGGTTAACTGTTTTTAACAGATGTTAGTGCTATTCACCTAGCTATATAATTATCCACTAATAACGCCACTATGGTACTTGTTCTGAAAAGCATTGATGGATAAGCAATCACTGTAAATGTCAAAAAAGTTAGCAAATAGGCCGGCTGGATGTGGTCTACACATTGTTATTACCTGCATTGAGAATTAGGATGCTTTTTTTTACTCTGAAAAATTTTTAGGTTCCTGTTGGAGTTACAGAAAACTAAAGTTACAAGGACAAAGTCGCGGGCGGATGCTACTCGTATTTTATAAAATTATTTCGGAGAAAGTGATATCGCAGCGCTGGCTGCTATCTGCTATAGTTATAATACTTATGAGCGTGCGCTGCGTTAAGCATGACACGGTGCGGGCGTCCACTCTGCGTGATTGTTTCATAGAGCAGCGCTGCGTGCGGTTTGTCGCCCGCGAGGCGTGCGGCGGGACCGTCGATTGGCCGTCTTTTGTGCTCTCGTCTGCGTTCACTTTTGGCTAGGTTGTATTATCACGGTAATAATAAAATACAGTATTCTATCTTCATACAAACGGTCGGAAAGCGAGTCATACCTACGCCACTCGAGTTCGATGTGCTCTCGGCGTGCACCCAGTCGCGAATGCGCCGCCCATAGAGTACATTATATACTAGTAATAGAGATATCAGTTAACCTGAGCATACAGCGCCATCTAGCGATTCATGACATAATCACAAATTATGTACTACTGAACCGGTACCGGCAGCTTTAGATGCGATTATTAATATGAAAAAAGGAAAAAAATATACTGTGTTAAAGCTACATTATTAGATAATTTATCTACTATTCGTTTACACAGTTTTTTTTGATAATTGTCCAATAATGTAACTTTAACACAGTCGGTTAGAATAAATAAAGAAGTTTTATAAATCAATTATTTTTATTTATATTTTTAAATATTTGCATGCCATTCTTTTAATATCATCTTTAAAATTTGTACAATAACGCACCTTTATGGTGCCGTTTAATAATTCATTTACCTCACCACACCAGTTATATATAAAAAATCTACAAGTCGGATCTATCATAAAAGTTTCATTGCTTTCTTTAGCCGTGTTGTATATTTGAGATTCTTTTCAGTTAGCTTCTTCACCACTTTTTTTTAAGTTAGTTACACTTTGATCCATTGCAGATGCTGAAAAAAATCATTTCAATAAAATTAGTATCATTGTGAGGTGAAACTAAGTGGAAGGTTCCATTTCATTATGTAATGTCTACTTATTAACTAAAACATGACTAAAGCCCATACAGGTAAGTTTAAGAAAAAAGCTAACAAAAGAATAAAGATGATTAGGATAGGTGTTCTCTAAAATATATTCAATTCAATTCAATTTATTGCACTCATGTGGTTACATCGATGGTTACAAAATGTTTATAGTACCTAACATGAACCCTGTCAGGGTATCGCAATATACAGTACAGTTAAAGATAAAAATTACAAAAGCATCTAATTAATAAACAGTTATATAAAATTAAAAAAGCATCTAATTAATAAATAGTATATCAGGAACCTAATTTGTGTCTAAAATAAATATCATCTGATTCCATTTGTTTAACAATATAACTTACTCAATTGATCTTATTAACAGTAGAAATATAATAGAAATGGAAATTCATTTATAAAATTAAATTAAATTTGTCAATAATTAAAATTAATAAATATGTCAATAAAAATAAAATAAAAAAATAAAATAATATGTCAATTAACATGATTATTATATACTAGGTTTGTATTTTAAAAAAATCGCCTTATTAGTATTATTTTGTTGTAAAGTTTTCATTATATATATTAAAAAGTATATTTAAAATCTAATAAATATATTTTCTTTTTAACTTTGTGCATTCATATATTAAATTATTATCTATTTGTAATTTAAATATTCATCCACAGAATAGAAGCATTTATCAATTAGAAATTTTTTAAGTTTTGTATTAAATGTGGTAATAGATTTTTGGTTTTTTATAGAATGTGGTAATTTATTAAATATCTTAACTGCCATGTAGTAGGGGCTATTGCTAAGCATGGTTAGTCTTGATGGGGGATGATTTAATCTATTTTTATGGCGGGTATTAATATTATGGGTTTGGTTAACTTTATTAAACGCGTTAGAATTTTTAAATACAAAACCACATATGTCGTGTATGTATATGCTTGGAAGAGTAAGTATTTTATATTTTTTAAAGAAAGGTTTGCAGCTCACTGTATTGTCTATTTGTGCAAGGATACGAATACACTTCTTCTGCATAACAAAAAGATCATGTGAATTCACACTATTACCCCACAGCATAGACCCGTACCGCAACCAGGAATAGGCATATGCATAATATGTAGAAAGAGCTGTTTCTAAGTTAGTACTCTGTTTAATTTCAAAGAGTGCGTATATAAATTTGGATAATTTAGTTTTAACATAATCAATATGACTTTTCCAGTTTAAATTACTATCTATAGTTATACCGAGTAATTTAAATGTATCTACTAATTCGATATTTATATTTTTGTAAACAACTGTAACATTTAATGGTGGGGTTTTATATGTTCTGAATTGTATAGCTTTCGTTTTCTTATAGTTTATCTCTAAATTATGGTTCTCGAGCCAAGTTGTTACAGTATCTAAAGTTTTTTCTATTAATGCATTTGGATCAGTTCCCTTCTGAAATTTTAGCAATATTGATATGTCATCCGCAAAAAGAACTGGTAGTGCTTCACTCCTATCAAATATTTTTGGTAGATCATTTATGTATATCAAAAAAAGAATACATCCACACACGCTGCCTTGCGGGATAGAGCAAGATAGACTTTTTTCCTCTGAATGTATATTCATTATTTCATTTTTGTTGCTATAGTGTTCGATTTGGACTATTTGTTTTCTGTTTTGAAGATATGATTTGAACCAAGAGAAGGGAATAGATAACATATTTCTGATATATATTTTTTTAAAGTTAAGTAAATAAAATTATCAAATAATTTTAATAGACAAAAATACAGATGTGCAGGTGAAAACAAGCGCGAGAAATATACAGTGTAGTTTAAGCAGGTTGCCTGCTGCCACTATGGCCACCCTGCTTTAACTACACTGTTTATTTCTCGCGCTTGTTTTCGGAGTCTGAATCTGAGTGCACTCTGGCCGTACCCGTAGATTAAGCAAGTTGCCTGCTGCCACTATGGCCACCCTGCTGGCCGTAGTAAGTCATAGAGGTATAAGAATAGAGTGGGGAAGGCGGCTCTAAAAGTGTCCGTCTAGTAGAAAGAGAAAGAAATAAGAGACGGCAAGCCTTTCTCTCTCTAATCGTGAATACACATTGGATGACAAACCTACGAATGAATGCCGACTAATCACACGACTGCGCAGCGACACAAGAGAGAGAGAGAGAGATAGCTAGCCGTCTCTCATCTTCTTTCTCTTTCTACTAGATGGACACTTCCACTTGTAGTAGAGTACATAATATCTCCCCTACTCTATTCTTATACCTTTAAATTTAAGTTCCTAGTGTGGAGCATATTGTTATGAAATGTGAAAAGTTCAACGTTGTACGTTTAATTAAAATATCAAAACTGCAAAATATCAGTGAAACTAATGCTTGTGAAATATCAACAGAATTGCTTAAACTTTTGAGGAACCATTTATTTTATAAATCTATATTTAATTTTATAAGTAGGTAACACGGATAGAAAAATTGTAAAATGTAAATACACACATCAAAAGTGTCTAGGGATCAACATATATTTTTGCAATAACTTTTCTCCTGATTGATATTAATTAAAATTTTCTCTAAGGATTCATCAAATAAAGTGTTTTCGTTTGTCACAGTAACGATAAACCAAGTCACCTTTGCATTAATAAAGAAATTTGCCATTTTCCTAATAAAGGGATTTTTGACATTTGAACCACTAACACAAAAGTTCGAAAAAAAGACTGAAATAACAGTTTTCTCTAAAATTTTATTGGGTAACTTAAACAATTAATAATCCGTATTTCTACCGCGAACACTAACAACACAAGAACATCGGTTTGGCATACTCAAAATGAGTTCATCCAAATCACGCTGTGGAATGGCCGCCCATGTTCGTTGCAACAACAAAAAAAGGTCTTCTTGCGACTGGATACCCTCCATATTCGGCAGAGCTCTTCTCTGTAGCATATCCCATGCATGCTCAATCGGGTTCAAGTCTGGCGACTGAGCAGGCCAGGGCAGGACATTGATGTTAGCTGCGGCGAGAGTCTGTCTTACAACTCTTGCGGTGTGCGGTCGTGCATTATCATGCATTAACTGAAATAAGGGACCGATTTGCACTTGTAGAGGAACGATGACGTCTGATACAATCGTCTCAGCATAAATTTGAGCGTTGAGGTTGCCTCTGATCCAAATCAACTCAGTTCTTCCGCCGATCCAAATACCCGCCCATACCATGATGGTTCCACCACTATAAGGATGGACTTCCTGGCAGGATTTTAATCGCTGTTGGCGTCCAGGGGTTCTCCAGTGTCGTATACGTCTTGTATCCGGTCTCATACCAAAACGAGACTCATCAGAAAAGCACACGAAACGCCATTGTTCTTCTGCCCAATTTCTGTGTTCAAGAGCCCATTGATATCGAATCCTACGATTGTGCATTGCTATAGGTGGTACCCGTAGCGGTCTTCGGGAATGAAGGTTCACTTCGTGCAAGCGGTTTCTGACTGTTTGGTCGCTAATTAAGTTCCCTGAAGAGTGATGAAGCCTCACGGCTAACATCATGGCGGTTATTGTTGGAGCTCTTCGAGTTAAGATTTGAATGTATCGGTCTTGTCTCCGTGTGGTGCAGCGATACCGTCCTCCATGGCGCTCAGCCACGGTACCAGTGCTTCGGTATCGTGTCCAAAGTCGACTGATAACACTCTGACTTGTATTCAGAGCTAAAGCCACAGTACGTTGCCGGGAACCAGCTTCTATCATTCCCACGGCTCTGAGCATTTCTTCCCTGCTTAAATGACGTCGCCGCTCCATAATAACGTTGGTTTTAATCAGTAGTAGGGAAACAGTAGCACTAATAATGTCTTCAATGCGTTGTATGTTTTTATAGGGAAAATATTGACAGCTGATTTTCATCTTTTACTCGAATTTGATTCACAGTTCCTGATTCAAATTATGAAATGCACCAAAAAGGATCCATATAAATTTATAAAATCATAAATTTATTACAAAGCCACATCTCAATCTCAAGAAATCCGCATAAAAATGCTTGATCCCTAGACACTTTTGATGTGTGTAATTAACTATATAAGTTCCATGTTCTTACTAATAAGCTAGGCATAAGGACAATGTATCCATTGCCAATAAATAAAAAAAAACACAGTCAAACTGACGGAAACAAAATGATTCATCTATTGCACAAACACACAAAATAGATTTTTTGTTTGTTCTTCTGCCTATAAATTAACTAATTTTATTACACAAACCGAGTTAAATACCAAGATGTTTTCAACGAATCCAAATTATACAAAATTGAAAACGCATCTTAGGTTGTCCATAAATCGACTTAAATTGTTGGAAAAAAAGAAAACAGAACTTGCTCAGAAGGCAAGGAGAGAAATAGCTGATTATATTGCTGCTGGAAAAAGTGAGCGTGCGAAAATACGCGTGGAACAAATAATTAGGTAAGACCAATTTCAATTTAAATAAAAAAAATCTGCGTCATTAAATGCAGCATGCAGCTATGTCTATGATAAAAGTTATGGGAACTGTACACTTGGCCTTGAATATATAATTGTTATTGCTTTGAACTGGAAGTAGTCGGTTACTAATAAAGATCTTTACATCTACAATCTATTGAATTAATATATTGTTCATTATAGAGAGGATTACATGGTTGAGGCTATGGAAATAGTTGAGATGTACTGTGACTTGGTACTTGCCAGATTTGGTTTAGTTACTCAGATGAAAGAACTTGACGAAGGCTTAGCAGAAGCTATATCCAGCTTAATATGGGTTGCTCCTAGGATGCATACAGATGTGCAGGTAAGAACAAAAATATTAAATCATCTTTTACTATTGGTGTTAATTCTGGCATGATTCACTAAATTTAACATCAATCTCTCCTTTTCATTCTGTATAGAGAATGACAAGGATACACTGTTGTCGAATTTAAGTTTAGGTTTAGAGAATCATGCCAGAATTGACACCAATGGTAAAAGATAATTTAATATTTTTGTTTGTCTAGGTTAGGCAGATATAATTTATTTCTTGTAAAATTCTCTTTAGATAATAAATATGATGTGTACCTAAATTGAGCAAGTTTGTATTATTCAAATATATACTAAAACATGTTTTGTAGCTTATTTATTGTTATTCTGCTTGTGTAATTTGATATTGTTAATTTGGTTAATTGCAGCATTTGCTTCCATTGTAAAACTTTAAGATCTAATATTTATTAATATGGACTTTACTTTCAATTTCATATATTAATTTCTTCTGTTTTAACACACTCTAATTGTTTATTTATCTAATATTACAGGAACTCAAAGTGATATCTGATTTACTAACAGCAAAATATGGTAAGATATATGCAGAGGCATGCAGAAATGAAAATGTTAATACAATCAGTGAGAAACTTAAACACAAGATGTCAGTCCACAGCCCACCAAAGATACTTGTTGAGAAATATTTAATAGAAATTGCAAAGAACTATAATGTTGAATATACTCCAGATGAACAAGTTATGAGAGAGGAAGAAGGTAAGTCTGTTTTTATGTTATGTTGTTGTGTGAATGTGTGTTGTGTGCGTATGATTCATTTAGATATTATTGAATCATCTCAAAAATCTATTGAGCTGAAATTTTAAATATATATTTAATTTATAGGTATGCAAAAATCATCATAACAGTCTCTTTAAAATTAATCAAACTATAGCAATGTAACTTTTATACTACAAACCAAAAGTGATAATGTGATTTACTTAAATTGCTTTAATTTTTACATAACACGCAAAGCTAAAGTCAAAAATAACAATCTTTTTAAGTAAAGCAGAAAATAAAAATCTTTTAGTTCTCTATTGTAAAAATGATTTCCGATTGCAATCATATAACTTGAAATTTTTATTTAAAGAAAGTTTTATTTATTTACTTCAATAAATATATAAATCTTTATTGTAGATACAAAAGTGTAGCTATGGCATCCATCATGTTTTTTTTTACTATTTTATCATCAGCACTTGATTTTGTAAATCTGTGGAAGCAGGTCGCGACGCCCTACTGATCGACATCAACGGGCCTCCGATGCCACCAGGCTTCATTGGGTACCCACCACAACCACAGATGCCTAACTTACCTAACATGCCTCCAACTACTGGCAGTCCATTCAATTACCCACCTCCTGTGAGTTTTATTTTGTTATTATTTTAGAAAATTAAAGTGTTAATGCCAATCTTAGGTTTAACCTGCATAAAGGCCAAAGGTTTAATATTTTCTGCAAAACCGGTACTTTGTCAGTTAACAAAGCTCCCTAAATACAAAGACTTTCAGCACTCTAATTCAAAGCATTTAACTGCTAGATTTATTTATTATAGTCTAAAGAAAATAAAAAATACTTTTATTTTATGATATAAACAATTTACTTGACCCTTTTATAATAAAGTAAAATTTTCTCATCAAAGTGTTTCATACTGCCTATAAAGTCTTCACAGAAGTCTTTACAAAGGCATGTTAAGTGTCATGACTAAGTCTATGGTTTACAAGTATAACTAAAGCAATGATAGAAGTGTTGGAGCTGATAATAAGATGTCACTATTTGATTAAAGTAGATTTAAAATTTCTATGAATGCAGCAACCTTCCCATGGCAAAGCTGGTGGTTTCATAGCCACGGCTCCCAATAACTACAGCGGTCCCAGTCAATCACCTGCAGGGTACAACTTACCGCCTGGTGTTGAATCCAAGTCTTTGACAAACAGCTTCCTTCAGGTATGTAAATTGTTTTGCATGTATTGCAACATTTTTAGATAATTTATTTTAAAATTTTTTTAGAGCTACATTGCTTAGTAATGATGCACGTGATTTGGATCTTCGTTTGTGTAATGTTAGCCATGCTTTAGTGAGTAAATGTAGTGAATATTTGTGATTCATTTCCATTTTACTACTTTTGGCAACTTTAACTTAAAAATTCGATAAAATATCATTTGAACAAATTAGACTAATTACTCTTGGAACCCTTGTACTAGGAATTGCTTTAAAATAGGGATCATGTTAGTATTACCATAAATGTACATGAATCTGCTGTAGTTGCGATCCTGGGCCACGTGTTTATTGGGCATTGATGATTAATGAAATAACTTTAATCAATAAAAAATAAAATTATTAAAAAAATATTATCTACAGAGATAAAAGAGGGCCTGACATTGACAAAAACAATAACGCAATGCTATCTCTGTCTTATAAGTGGTGACTCACTTTTTAATGACTGGCTTACATGAAGATTATTAGGTTTGATGATGCTATGATTTTGTGTTGCAAGTTTTTGCATGATTAGTTTGATTGTAATATAATTGCAATAGCTATATCCTAAAAGAATAGCATGCATGCACATATATTATGTAAAGAAAACTTAAGTAGTGTTTGTTCTAAAAAAATGTGTAGATATCAGCTACGAGTTTATTTTAGATATTGTAAAGATAGCTTCCCACAGCACCAACAAAAGGTTTTTCAAGCTGTGACTTTTTTAAAACATAGAAATGATGCACATTTAAGAAACAATTAGATTTGAGTTTTAGAAATTTCTCAAAGCTAGCGTAGACCAGGAACATTTGTCCGCGGCCTTCTTTGACTACTAAAATAGATCTATAGAAGGATCATTAGCTTACAACTGCAATGAGTTGCATAAGAGGGATTAAAAGAATTATGTACAAAAAAAATCCCTCCAATAACTAAACACGCCGAGAGATCGGACTGGACAAAAGTATGGAAAAATAGAACTTCTGTGACTAGGCGTGGCAACACACACAGACAAATTGGTCTGCGTTGTGAGCTCGACCCGATGTAAGTGGATGGAGCTAATATTCTCTTTAAAACGTTTTCTCTCTCTCTAACTTTATGTGAATTACAACACAAAGTAATCTCAGAATATTTGCTTTCATAGCGTGCACCTCTCTTAATTTCCAAGCAACAAATGATCGCACACCGTGTGATACATTCAGACCGCGGCAAGTGCTCGGCGGACATTTGTTTGTCGATTCAGGGATTTTTTCCTGAACGGACAAAAATCCCTCGTCTGCGCAAGTCTTTATTGTATTAGTTCTTATTATATCGGTAATAAAAATCTACCAATTATGCGATGCGTTTATAAGAGTGAATCTCAACATGGTGTTTTGTTGTCTTTATATAAATACACTAACCCATAGTTCAGTAATTATTTAAAAAAATATTTAGTATGTATAAGCACAGTCATCCTACCATTTGTAAAAGTTGGCATTAAGAAGATACAACATTGTTTGTTTAGATTGTATTACGTATGTTGTATTTAGTTGAGTATTTCGTTTCCCCAGGATGAAATGAATAATCTACCTCCTGCTTATGACAGCATTCACCACGATACGGTAATTTATATTTTTTTAATTTTCTTACATTAGTTTTGTTTATTTAATAACCCCATGCATGCAATTTTGCATGTGAATGTTAGCTCTGTGTTCGTGTTCGTCTGTTTAGGCATAGATTGTAGATATTATATAAATTGATCATTGTATAATACAATTTATTAATATTTTCGCATTTTTATATCATTATCTTTACAAGTATAACATAAAATTAGTGTAGCTTTCTTCTTCTTCTTATTCTGTGTTCATTGTAAAAATTAAGTTACTCCATCGATAAGAGATAATACGATCGATAGTACCATATTAAGATAATAACTTTATTACAAATTAATCTTTTATTTTATATTTAAAGGGAAGCAAACAAGCGTATGGCCCGCCTGATGGTAAACGGCCACCATAGCCCACTGGCTCCATAGCCAGTGGGCTATGGTGGCCGTAATACCTGAGCCCATGCTCAGGTATTATGGGAGTACTTCACAGGGTGCAAGGTTGCCCCTCATGTTATTCTGTCGCGCTCAGAAAATCCCAAAATCCCCGCTTGGGCTCCCCTGCTACAATGTCTATGGTTAAAACACACAAGATTGTATGGGTTCTTCGTGTTGATAATACTTTCTAATTTTCATAAGGACTACATTCAAAATTCCTGAATTAATTTACCTTTAGTTATATTTTTATTTTTTGTAGTGTTTGAATTGCTATTTCTTCTTTTAAATGTTTAATACTTGTAAAGGTATTCGTTTGACATTGTGGGCTACCTACAATGCAAAGAGATGGCGCTATCTTGCAGCCTAAGAAATATTATAAATGATTTAATTTGACTTGTTTATTTCCATCGCAGCCAGCGCATATACCGGCGCCTACGCCTCAGCCTCGCACGCGTCCGCCTGCTTCAAGCCCTTACCCCGATCTGCCTGAATTGCCATCAGTACCATCCGACTTGATACTACCCTCAGTGCCGCATAGCAACGACTCTAATACAAACACAGGGAACACCCCTGGGGGATCCGACGAGATCGACTTTGACGACCTGAACAGGAGATTTGAGGAGTTGAAGAAGAAAAAGTAGAAAGACCCTGGGCTAAGAGCCTTAATGTTCATGATGAATCCACACATGCTAGTTTAGATCTGTACCCTTAGAACGTACCAATATCGAATTCATTACGTTTGAGAGTGCCATTCATCATCGAGAAATTTTGTATGGAAACTTGAACAGCGCCACAGCGGACAAGACTACGATAAAAGTTCAGGCTTAGGTTACAGAGGCCCAAGCAAGAATTTTAACAGCTGCATAATCGCATCGCATCGTCAAAGTCTCTATGAAAACAAAGCAGCGCCCCTACCGGACTTAAGAACAAACTGGCTCCTGCCGTACAAAATTTTGACGATGACTATACGATTCCGGAGCTGTCAAAATTCGTGCTTAGGGCTCTATTCTTCTTTAACGATTCTTTTAACGTGAATATGTTGTTAAAAAATCAAAAGTTTTCTGTTGCCCTATGAATGCCGGGTATCCAAGTAACGAATTAATCTACTCGTAAGCCATAGCGTTCATAAGAATAAAATCATTAGATAATGCGGTATAAACTTCTTTAAACTATATAATATCGAATTACTGACTTCAATAAAATAACACTGTGGCATTTTGCGGTCTCGATAAAAGTTTAAGAATAAAATTGTCTAGCATGTGTAGATTCATTTTTGTAGTATCTAGGCGTCTCATTGTTTTAAATGAAATATTGAGCTACTTCCACGCTTACTAATGAAATGTTTAGACCATCGCAATATGGTCGAATGAAACCCAAAAATATATAATTGGAACGACGAGTGAGTAATATCTTGTACGATAAATTTTTACCTTGTGTTAGTAACGCAATAGTTTATTTTCTGTTATATACGGAAGTGTCCTACCTGAAACCTTGACAGTTGAGCTTTTCTTGCAAAAAAATATTTAGATTTGAAATGTTGTTTATTTCCTGTTATAGACTGAATTAATGTCCTGCCTGAAACCTTGACAGGGTTCAATTTTTCTAGCAAATACTTTCTTTATATTTGAAATGTTCTTTTTATGGTCGTGTCGTGTCTAAATAATTTATGCTTCAGAAAAGCGACTCCAATCACGCCCGATAGCTTTCAGTTTGAACTTCGTTGTAAATTTCTTACAAAATGTCAACATGAAAAAAATATATTGATAAAAGTTAAAATTAGACGATTTAGGTCGAGCGGTTAAAATATATATAGTAAATTTATATATAATTTTGACAAAAGGTGAATATCGGTTATTGAGAACGACGGCTGTTTGTGAAACATGCCTTATGGTGCTGCCTGTAAAATGATTTGAATCTTCCGAATAAGTTATTTTCAAAGATACGAAATGCTTAACGATTTTCCCCCAAGTGGCTAGGTTGTGAACCATTACATTATGATATCGCCTCTCCTTTAGTTTCCAATTCAAGTGGTCAAGTGTGGGACAGTGTAACATAAGGAATATCTCTGAATTATACCCGGTCATTTGACGTCTGATGACAGCTAAGCAGCTGTATGCGGCATATGAAATTAATTAAAACACATCATATAGCCAAATAAGAAAACTGGCCAAGTGCATGTCGTGCCACGCGCAGTGTAGGGTTCTTTAGTTGCCTGTCGTTACCACAATATATTTGAGTCTTTATTTTCTGTATCGGAAATAAAAAAAATAAAAAATGGTTGCCTGTAAAGTCGGTTTTACGGGCGAAGATTTTACGTGACAACGTCTTTTTCTCGGTAGAATATTTATTGATATGAATATAATTAAATTGCACAATAGGAACAAGGAATTGAATGAAAATAAGAATTGCACAAATTTTAACTATAGAAATATATTTTGTTTACTAAAACATTGTACATGTAAACTTAAACTTAACACGAGAGACTCATCGTAACGTTACCGAGCGTTACACTTTTTCATAAGTGACTCCCAGCCGCAACCTAATTTAAGACGTTGTCACGTCAAAACAATTAGTATCTCAACTAAAATATCTATATTAAATTCAAACTGCGTCTCAAACTCAAAATTAATTCGATTTTTTTTATATGAATGACAACCTTGGTTCTTTTCAAGTGCTTAAATATGTCACCTGAATATAATACATTGCGTGAAGTTAGTGCGATTCAGAAGCCGTTGCCGTAGATACTCGCGTAGCTGTAACTTTGTGGAAGTAATTATATTTTATTGTGGTTTCTAAATTTTTTTGTTAGATTTTGTTTTCAATGCAAGATTTTTGGCTACAATAACTTCATCTGTCACTATTAACGTTTTCTTCGAAGGAATTTTCAATTGGTAATAAAGTTTCTTTAACCAAAGTTGAACGACTGTTACTCTTAAACTAACAAATCTATCATAACCGTTATAATTCACCTTAAACGTACATGAAAAACACTATTATCATGATTTTTTCCAGTTTTAAAAGCTAAAAGTTTAGCTCAGAGTAGGGGGACCCTATTCGAACAAAAATTAACACTAAAGTTCAATATTACGTAAACGGATCCTGAAATCGAAAAATATTCTTAGGAAATCATAAGTAATTTTAAAGGACCTATTTAACGATACCCCACACGATAGGGCAGACGATGAAAAAAAAACCATCCCCAGGTTAATTGTAGAGAGCTACTCTAATAAAATTATTCTACCATGTTGTCGGCGTGATTGATTACATATCTCAACAAAATTACAGCTCTCTAGTTTAGTGCTAACAGTGTTCAAGCAAAATCGTGGACATGACGAAACTATAAGGGTTACTTGTCAGGACTACGGAACCTAAAAAGGACTGAGATATTCTTTGTTATTCTGTCCCCCACTAGACCCTATTATAAAGGTTCAAAGGACTACACTACACTTACAGCCGCACTCGGAAATGTCAATCAATTTTATTAAGCTTCATTAAAGTTGCACAAATACAACTAACTGCTCAGGAAAACAGGCCGTCGAACACAGTAAGACATTTTTATGACATATGATAATTTGGGTGAGCGAAATAGTTATTCTAGAATCGATATCTTGTTTTGAACGATGCTTTTAGATCACTTAGTTAATTGCACGTGCCAGTATGGAAAAAAGTTGGTCGGTATTAAGTTGTATTCTGTAGTGCTGTTTTTATGCGTCATTCATTTTTCATTGTTGAGAATCATTAGCATCATTATTTCTTTAACATTAGCATTCGTCACAAATGTCAATTTGTTATTTTTAAGTCACCACAGTAAAATGAACAGAAATTAAAATGTACTCAGTTAAGAAATTTTAATAGAGTATTATTTAATTGCTAAGGTTTATACTGAAGATGTAAAATGCTTTATATGAAGCAATTTTTATCCATGGTAATATATATTTTTTTAATTAATTTGCCAAAATCATACAAGATCTTAAAATATAGTATGTATAATTTGTATGTTTATATATTTTAAGTAATTGTATAATGGAAATGTGATAGGTATATGAATAAGTTAGACTTTGTAATTATTACAATATTTATTATTGTAATTAAACTTTGTTTTAAAATAATATAAAAACACTTATAAGAGTTTTAACATTTTTATCGTGCTGTTATCGGCTATCGCTATGAGCTGTATAAAAATCACGTATACATTATAATAAATTATTATTTTTATTATAATATCGATTTTTTTTCTTTAGCATGTTGTAACAATACAATGAACCAAATTGTGAATTTGGTAGTTAGGCATGAAAGCATTCGACCTTGTGAAACAGCTTCAACAAAGTATTTTTTTTATTACAAGCATAATTATATAATACGACCTATAAGATCGTCATTAAAATAGTTTAAATATTTATTGCCAACGTTGAATAATCAATCCCTTTACTGGGAATTGAAATTAATATAGTCAGACTTCTTAAAACATTGACAGCGACATAACAGTAGTTTTCTTGGCATGAAAGAAAATAATAATAACTCCATATCACAGAAATTAAGTTTTTGTGAAATTTAGCAGACTTTGTTTGATCGTATCGTTTTAGTGTGCAGAAATTAATTAAAAAAAATTGTGACATTCGTGATTTTCTATCAACAATAATATAAAAACAAGCTTTATCTACACCAACGCTCCAAAAAAGTTGCTGCGCGAGTTAATTTATTGCCTATATGAAGCCTCTGTCTTTCATAGCACACACATTTCTTATTGTCTATGGAAGTTTACAATACTAATTATCTGCTCAGTTTACAGTTGGTTAGGGAACGATCAATAATTTTCAATGTCTATGGTGTAGATAGTCTTGTATACTTCTGTATGCACCGTGAATTATTTTGAGTTACCTGAGAAAATTAACTAGCGAATTTAAACAACAATTTAGGTTATATTTATATTTCCTAAAAAAAAAAAGTCACCACGTTAACACAAGAATTGTGCAATTATGAACCTTAACAACTTAGTTGTCATTAATTCATTCCAATAAAACTACTTTTAGGATCTACGTAATTTAAACGGATAATAATTCCGTATAAGATTGTATTATACCAATTTGTGTGGTTTAATGGATATTTTGTAAACATTTTATATTAATATTTTCTCTATTTTATACGATTTTAAGTTTCCTTAAACTCAAGTAACTCCAAATTCACGGTGTATGTTAAGGTATTAAACATAAATTTTATAGTGTTATCGCTAATCCACATTCGTATTTTAAACCCCTCATACGATAGTTGCATAAATAACTACACTCGAACGCAAATAAATTGGGCCATCCGCTAGTACCTACCTACCTTGGAACTGATTCGATTTTCTCAAAAAGTTAAAACTCGTAATTATCAAAGCTATATCATATATATATGAGTAGATTTATTCTAAAGTACTGTCAATTTATTTTGTAATCAAGCAAGAAACGCAAGGCTAACAATTTTTGAATAGAGTTGCGATTGTCGTTTTTTTTATAAAATAGCCTCATGCTTCTTATAATTACTTTTATTTTGTCCATAGTTTTCTCAGACGTGTGTATTTTTGCTGCGTTTTTACTACCGATACACAATTGGAAAATTTTTAATAAAAACTGAATAAATAGATTTTTATCAATAAATTCCTATTAATTTTAATCATCATAAACGCACTTTCCTCAAGTACAACTTTGATAGGTTTATACTTTTTGGAAAAATCAAATCAGAGTACCGAGCTAGAAATTGACCTGGTTTATATTTTCCAGTCCAGTGTATTTAAAATTTTTATCAGCGCTAAGTAGTTCATAAAAGTCTGACAATTTGTTTGGAGCAAACGGCTATTTTCTTAAGGTTGGCTTCAGTGGGGGCTGAAACGCTATCTCTCTTCAGTCGATTGTGGACTTGCATATTGGATACTATCTTGGTTTGTATGAGGATCTTGTTAGGACACTCGGCGAGAACCGTGCCCAAAGCCACGAGTGCCCTGTAATAAGTAAATAAATGTTGAATAAAAGTAGTTTTTACAGGTTAGATGTACTGAATTTATTTATTGGCTCAATAAAAGTCTTTCGAAGGTAGCTCGACAAAGTACGTAAAAAATCATTATGCTGACGACGCATTCCTGAAGAGGATGCGAAACGTCAATAATTATATAAATTCAGTAATTCTAACCCGTAAAAACTTATTTAATGGATGATGTGCGTGAAAACCTAAGAAACAAATATGTATAAATAAATGTTGCGACACTTTCACAACAGTAGTGATGACGATGACTAACTTTTTTCTTGGTTTATTGGGTAGATTATCAAAAAGTAATGGACACGTATTCCAAATTCATTTAAATGTCGCATAACGTCACGTCTTGGTACAATTTTTACTTATAAGGGACGTCACGAGCCACCACTCCCAAATTTTGACGGGTTTTATCTTTGTAATTTTTTTGATTGATTCGCAAAAGAAAAGAAATATATGACCATTGTTTTTTGATAATGTAACTGACGGCCAAATAGAATTGACAGTATGAAAAAAAGGACAAAGTGTTGGCATCTGTATTTTATATGAATATTAGCAGCGATTTAACTATTCGGGAAGAATAAATAATTAAGAACTTTTCTAAAAAAAAGATTATTTTCTTATATGGTCACGTGACCGAAAACGCCCGGGATTGGCCAAGAGTACAATGACGTCACACGCTAGTAAACTTCCGGCCAAAGTGACAGTAC